TGATGATTTACTTTACTTTGATCTTTTCTCCTTCAATTTGATTTTCTTTCAAGAAATGTTTATTGAGAATCTGCATTGTACAAAACACTCTTCTGGAAAAGAGAAACCATAAGTGAACAAAATACAAACATCTATTGTATATTGGAGCTTATATTCTAGTGGTGAGAAAATTAACAGTAAATAAGTGAAACAAATACTATATAAAAACAATTATAAATTCAATGATGGAACGTAAAGCAAGGAAGAAAAGTGAAGAGAACAAACAAGAGTTTTGTGGGTGAAGTGAGGGGTTTTGTTTTAGAAAGGGTAGTCAGAAGCTTTATTAATTAGGAAAATTTGCACGGAGACCTAAATATCATTTTAAATATCCTATCTCTATTAATTGTTCACATGCTCCTTTTCTGAAATGACAATCTGTAGTGACGGCAGGAGGCATTTACGTTCTTTTTGACAGAATGCTTTCTAAATTATTTGTATCATTGCTTTCTGCTAAACTGAGAAGCTGTGGATATGTTCAATAGAGGCACAACCTGAATATCTATAATTTATGACTTTCTGCCAAGACTGCTGTCAACAAGAAATAGTCATGAATTCATTTGTCGTTCCACATTACCTTCTGAATTTTTGCAAATTGACTATGCTTATCTGGAGGTGGAACTTTCATTTCTCCTCTTATTAATGACAAACTGGGGTTGCATTCCTATCTTCAGACTGCAGCTTGTGTCTATCCCAAAGAACCACTGGCCCTATCTCAATATGTGTGAAATACAGGAATGTGTGGTGCTTTTCTGAGAAAAGTTGGAATATATTTCAGGATTTTTTTTCACCTGATTTCTTCTGATTATTCAGCTTAGAGAAGAGCTTCTCTGTTTCATTATTTCATGAATAATTATGGCCAGTTAGTTATTTATCAAAATCTGGCAGGTATTTAGCCATTTTTATTTATTACTTTCATATATACAGTACAATAATTTAATAAATATATTTTATTTGGGGCTTGGCATGGCTTTAACACCAACTTAAAATCTCCTTTGTAATTAGGAAAGAAGATACAGTTTTCTTTTAAATGACCAAAATATCATCTGCTCACATTCTATTTACAGTGAAGTCCTAATCTTCATGGCTATATACATTTCCTTGGATCAATCATTTCATGAAATAATTTTGTATTTTAAAATCAGTTTAATTGACTACTGTCTGTGGATAAAACTTTTATTAAATCAAGCTACCTTGTACATTAAAATAATCAATAAAAAGTTAGTAACATATAAAAATTATTGGAGGAAAAGAAATGCATGACTACAGTCAGCCCACAGCTGAAATTTGAGGAAAGAACATGAAACAGAGACAATATCATAAACTGAAAATACAGGATAATGAACTTCAATAGAATTCTAATGATAACATCCAAAATTTTGAGTGTACAATGTATATATCACTTCCTCGAAAATCCATTATGTTTATTACAGTAGTCATGCCAAGAGTTAGATATTGATTTGTAAGAACTCAGTGACTAGTATTTAGACCAAGGTAACAGTTATTAGGGGACAGAGCAAGAATAGGATACGAACTCAGAGCCATTAAGTGAACTACTTCCTTCTTCATTTATCAATAATAGAGGTTAGTAGAGAAGACAACACATGGAAATAGAACAAGATGCAACTCTTTGAAGGTTCCTGAGAAAACTTTTTTATATAGATTGATTTGGGTGTCAAAAATTTATTTTTATCATATTGCCTGACATCTAGGAATTCTCAGTAGATTTTTCTGGTGTGTCTGTGTCTTTGAATATATGAATAACTGATAAATCTAGAAAGTCTAGTCAGGCAAACCTATTTTTAGCCAAGAAGCTTAGGAGCATGCTGTAGTAAATCACTTATTAATATCTATGTTGTGGGAAGAGTGCAATAAAAAGAGCAGAGGAGAATTGAAATTGCAGTATTGTGATACATACTTAGAAATATTTAAATTTCAAGTGAAATACAAGTTTTTAAATAGAATTTTGAAACATAATAAAATTTTAATGTATTGGGAGCCAATTTATAAAATGTACCTAGTCCCCAAAATAGACCAGTGGGGGGACTGCATTAGGTTAAAAAGCTTCTGCACAGGAAAAGACACAATAATTAGAGTGAGGAGACAACCCCCAGAGGGGGAGAATATATTTACAAAGTATGCCTCAGAAAGAGACTGATAACCAAAATTTGTAGGGAACTCAAGCAGCTTACCTGCAGAAAAAAAAAAAAAAGAAATAGAAAATAGTAATAATAATAATCAATCCAATTAAAAGATGGGCAAATGAGCTAAACAGACAACTCTCTAAGGAAAACATATGAATGTCCAAAAAGCTTATGAAAACATCCTCAAGATTCTATCATAACAGAAATGCTAATCAAAACCAAAATAGAGGTACTACTTAATCCTAGTCCCAATGGCTAAATTAAAAAAAAAAAAAATGATACATACAGGCAAGGTTGTGGTAAAAAGGGAATTCTCCCACACTGTTGTTGGAAATGTAAATTATTAGATCATTCTATTATATAGAAAAATGCTTCATGACGTTCCAATGACCATTGTGGAGAACAATATAGAGGCTCCTCACAAAGCTACAAATAGGGAACCAGCAGTTAGCGTAATGGTTATGTCGCTGGACTCCCACGCAGTCGACCGCGGTTCGTGTCCCGGACCCGGTGGCTTAAAACTCATGCCGGGCGCGTGTGCGTGCGTGCCCAAGATCCCGAGAGGAGAATGGAGGAGAAGGGATTGCGGCGTGACCATCCCCCCTGGGGGGTGATTTCTC